ATTTCAAGATTATCACCTGTAAATGTTGGCATTAATTTCTGATATCTATATTAAAAATCAAAGCATTGATTAATTATGTTTTTAGATGATAATCGTTATAATAAATTCATAACTCACAACTCTATTTCCTCTAAAAATTTACTTCTATATTCAACCACATCACTTCTTTCATGTCCATCAAAATAAAGACCTTTTTTATATTTGTCATATACATAGCCCATTTTCTTCAACCACCTGTTTGCTGTTGATAAACTTAAAAAAAAATTTTTGTTAATTTGTTTACAAAAAAAATATTCTTCTTCTCACCTGATTGCTGTCTCATTTTCAACTCCTATACTAGGAAATACATCTTTAGCAATAAATTCTTTAAAATTATTTACAGTCACATTAAATTTTTCCTTTCTTAAAAAAGATGATATTTTAATCTGAACATCTTCATCATCAATAATACTTCCTCTTAAATGTTTGCCTCTTTTTTTATATGAAATATCACCATATTCTATAAATGACTTTCCCCAACTTCTTATACATTTTGAAAACCATGGCCTTTATTTAAGATTTTTGAAACTAAATTTGCTGTTCAAATTTTTTATGATTTCTTTTAATAATTGAAAATAATATTCAAAGCTTTTAATCTTAGATTATAACTTTTTGCAATATCAAATGATTCATCAAGTTTGATTTCAATATCTTTTAACAAATAATCATAATTTATTTTTTGAAAATTATCAACTATTTCTAATTCATTATTAACTGTTTCAGAACTTTGTGAATCATTATCCTGAGTCATTTCTTTACTAGAATTTTTTTCTAAAATAAAAAATTGATCAAGAGTTTGACCATTTTTATTGATATTTTCTTTTGTTGATGCCTTTCTTCTTTTTTGTGTTCTTGTTGAATTTCCATGATAGGTTAAAGGTCTTTTGGCTTTATAATTTTTCATATTATTAATCAGTAATTGGAATAAAGATTCACTGTTATTTTCAAATTCTTCATCAAAATATGAAATCATTTCTTCAAAATCATCAGAAT